GCCATAGGCTACCACACCCGCCCGTCAGTTTCCATCCCCTCCCACCACCCTCCAACAGCCCCGCTCCACCCAGCTCCACTCCCCTGTCACCGCGGCACCAAGGGCGCGGCGGTCTCGCCCTTTGCCGCGACCCCCGACCCCGGACCAGCAAGCGCTGCGCCTCCCGTCATCGGGCCGTGTCCGGCCGCAGTGCACGATTACCTGTATCCAGCTGAGCTCCACCCGAATGAGGAGCCGACACCCCACTCTGGGGCACCAAACTCTCGACCCCGCCCAGCGTGTGGCGTCAGCACGTAGCCCTGCCCCGGAGGAGAAGGCACGCCCCTCCCTCGTGGGCGGGGTCTATGGCGTCACAGAGCCGTAGTGGCTATGAGAGCCTATGATGCAGGTGCGGAAGCTGCGACTGCAGGGGCTCACTTTCTTGCACACTTAGTGAGAGAACTCATTTCGTGGACTTCCAGCTTCTTTCACGGTCATTTGTACTGTAGTTTCATAAGAATTAGATGTCTTCAGCTCCTGTTAGGAAACCATTTAGTGATAGTTGGATCGATGTGAAATTTATCACTGTGCAAAAATAAACACTTAATTGGAATAAAACCTACGTTATCGAGCGCTCGGGCTTCGTTATTTTGCATCAGGCTTTGAGACAAGCGTTTTGAGATCTGCAGTACTGTGTAACAGCTTGTGAGATAAGTGATCCCATCCCCAGTCTACACACGGCAAAAAGCCGTGCTGGGATCTCGCCCGGTTGTCCTGATTCCAGAGCCACCTACCTTTCTTTTCTTTTAAAAAAGAAACGCTGTTGATTAACCTACAACACCCTGTTGACCGTAAGATGCTCTCTATTTCAAACTGTTAAAATTTGGGGAAAAGTTATTTCTCAGAACTGATGAAATATGATCAATTATATTCAATTACACTCCGAGAAAGTTAATCCCTTGCAGTTCTTCAGTGTTCATTACAGCCAGGAGAAAGCCTCATATTATGGTCATGTCTTTATCTCCCCTATTTTTCTTCTTTCCCTTTTTAAGAGAGATCACATTGGACTCAAAGCTTCCGGTGGGCAAAAATATAAAACTAGACCTTAAACTGCTTTGTCTTTATGATTTTTGACAGTTTATCTTTGATAGTTATGGCAAATGATACAGTTCTTCCTATTTATGATAATAATAGTTTTCTCTTGTAATAAATGGTTCTATTTATTTACTTAAAGAATATATTAGCTAGGGCTGGCCCGTTGCTCATCTGCTTAGAGCAGTGTTCAAACCCCAAGGTCAAGGGTTCGGATCCCCTGACTGGCCGGTCACCAAGAAAAAAAAGAATATATGAACTAGGTATTAGTATGAGAGGGTGGCATCCAAATGACTGACAGTAGGGAAACACTGTTCCAGACTGTCTTGAATGTTCTCCTGGGTATATTCTCCCAACAAGATAATGAACTACTTGAAAACAAGGACTTTGTTATGTGGCACAGCAGCAGGTATTGGGGCGACAAGGGACAGCAATCTGATCACCATGATAGTTCCGTAGAAGACACAAATATCTGAATCTGGGCCAGTATTCAGACCAAGGATATGCCACCCACCGGTGAGGATGATATAGACAAAGCAATTTCTGAAAGGGAAAGGCAGAGTAAAAGGAGTTTTTTGTTTCTGTTTAAGTGGATGTATAAATGCTTGTAGGAACAAAGTTGGACTGATGTATGGAACGAGGATCTAGAGACTGGGAGAAGGTGAAGGGACTAAGGAATAAACGTCAGTATGCTTTTTTATTTTCTATAAATTGTAAAATATATATTAAAATCTTCCATTTTAACCATTTTAAGTGTAAAATTCAGTGGCATTAGTGACATTCACAATGTTGTGCAACCATCATCACTATTTCAAAAACTTTTTCATCACCCCAAACAGAAATTCTGTAACCATTAAACACTAACTTGCCATTTCCCTTCCCTTCTTCTCCCCTGTGGTAAGCTCTGTTGTACTTTCTGTCTCTATAAATTTGACTAGTTACCTCCTGTAAATGAAATCATACAGTAATTTGTCCTTTTGTGTCTGGCTTACTTCACTTAGCATAATATCATCCATGTTGTAATATGGATCAGAACTTCATTCCTTTTTATGCCTGAATAATATTCCATTGTATGTATATACCACATTTTTTTTTTTTAAAGATGACCGGTAAGGGGATCTTAACCCTTGACTTGGTGTTGTCAGCACCACGCTCACCCAGTGAGCAAACCGGCCATCCCTATATGGGATCCGAACCCGTGGCCTTGGTGTTATCAGCACCACACTCTCCCGAGTGAGCCACAGGCCGGCCCTATACCACATTTTGTTTATCCATTTGGCTATTGACGTACACTTCGGTTGTTTGCACCTTTTGACTACTGCAAATAATGCTGCAATGAACACTGACTTATAAGTATCAGTATGAGAACCTGCTTATAATTCTTTTACATACATAACTATGAGTGAAATTGCTGCATCTTATGGGAATTCTGTCTAGCTTTTTGAGGAAGTGATAAACTTTCGCACAGTGACCACACCATTTTACATTTTCACCAGCAAAGTATGATGGTTCCAATTTCTCCACATCCTCACCAACACTTGTTATTTTCTTTTTATTTTATTTTATTTATTTATTTATTTTTTCCTTTATGTCTTTTCTCGTGACCGGCAATGGATCGCAACCCTCAGTGTCACGCCTGTACCGGACCGGGACCGGCAACGGGATCGCAACCCTCGGTGTTGCGCCCGCACCTCGCTCAG